CTTGATTGGTTAGCCGGAAGCTGTACCGCGGTGCGTGAGTATTCGTTGCACGATCACCGCTGTCCCATCGAACGATTTCACTTTGTACTATGCACGGTACTATCATAAGCAACTTGCCATCTTAAATTGATACTCGGACATCTTAATTTGAAAAAGTTTAGTTCGTTTCATTTTCAGCACATTATTGTTTACAACACACATCCCTTCAAAATGTGATGCCGTGCGTTCTTTCCACTGTTGACTGTTTGTGGATATGGGAGAGGGACTCGAAATTGGATGAAAAGTGTTCAACCCTTTAAATTCTTTTGTCATTCCGGTTTCTATCTCTACCCACTCCGTGCACATTTGCTGCATTATTTTTCAGATGATGGCTGCCATGATCCATCCTGGCGGTGGTCGAAACGATATCCCGCAACGTTTGAAGCGACAGTTCTGTGTGTTCAATTGTACCCTACCGAGTAACGCGTCTGTGGATAAAGTATTCGGTACACTGGGCCTGGGTCACTTCTGTACCGCACGCGGGTTCTCCAATCCAGTGATCCAAACCATTCAAAAGTTAGTTCCAGCCACTCGGAAGTTGTGGCAACGTGTCAAGTTGAAGATGCTTCCCACCCCGGCCAAGTTTCACTACGTGTTCAATCTGCGTGATGTGAGCCGTATTTGGCAAGGAATGTTGAACACGACAAGTGAAGTGATCAATTCTCCCCAAGTTGCAATGCAGCTGTGGCAACATGAATGTACCAGAGTGATTGCGGATCGCTTCACCGAGCAGACGGATCGTGATTGGTTCGATAAACTGGTGCAACAAATTGGTAAGTCATGCACAAATGAGATCATATTCAACTTGACTTGGTATTATACAGAAAAAACAAACAAATAGTGTTGCAAACTCCTGTGTTCTCCCAACATCCTCCTCAGGCTTGAACAGTAAGGGGTGCGTTCATTTTGGTGGTAAGGATAAGTGCAAATAATTCATTAATTAGTACGATCAGATAAGACCAATTTGCTAGATTTTGTGGAGCATGTATGCATAGAGAAACAGGAAAACAGAAGTGCAAAACTGGAACAAAAACTGGACTCTATTTGTATCACGCGCGACTTATCAGTCTAATCTGGAGAGGTCAGGTCCTGTTTCGTTAATTTCCCTGGTTCAAAGTTTAAACAACCAAAGTATCACACCGTTTTTATCCTCTGTTCAAAACGACGTGTGAATGATTTTAATTGGGACTACTTTATTGCTTCATGAGCACCATTTGATTTGTCCTCCCGACATCCTGTAGACGGCTCTAAAAGCACCATTGTCTGTTTATTGGCTAGTTTCGTCCAGATGGACCACAGTTCAGTTGCTTACTGTTTTGGGCACCCTGCTCTGAACCAAACTGGTTCATACTTTGTGACAAAGAGTTGATAGTTGTCAAACATTTGCAGATAAGCAATTTGATCAACTTTTCTACAGAGTAATCTCCGGTTGGTAAACATCACATGTAAGACGACTGCTGTTCAATTTGGGGATGATTTTCATCGCTAGTCTTCTTTGGATTACAGAGTGCTTCTCAAATTGCTTCGGAAGATAAGAGTTATGTCTTTTGAAACACGATTCTTTGGGGTTTCAGACAGATGACTGTCATTTGCTTCTAAAGATACATACTGATTCATGTTCTTTGAGGAGCGCATGCTTCGTATTTCTCA